ACATACCAACAACAAAATGTTAGTAATTATTCGGTATACTTAATGTTCTTAAACATATACAAATGCAAGGTAAAAATGGTGCCCAAGTTGCAGCAGCCTACATGTAGCACATTGCATCCATGGCCATATTTTTGAATAATTATCTCATAGAAAGTCACTTTTGGTTTTTCTCGTTAAGGGGTCGCCACAGCGAATCGTCACACTGACGACTCACATGTTGACATTGCGTGTGTTTTATGCCGGATGCCCTTCCTGACGCAACCCTGATTCAAACCTGGGCCGCAGCAGAAGCAAGAGCGCTGCGTCTTAACCACTAGCCTACCAGGGACTTACAGTATAAGATACTAATTAGGAGATAAAATCTTCTTTTTTTGTTTGTTTGTTTTTGGTGACTGCAATATGCACTTCCACAGTAGCCTGTTACCAGCATGGGCAAAATGTTAGCATTAGCAAGCCTGAAAAACTATGTTGTATATGGAGAAGATTTAGATTCAGTAAACACAACACAGGGCATGCTAATATATTGCTTTATTCCAAGCTTAGTAAGATATGTAGCGTGATATGGAATGGAACACTTTTAAGGCTGTGACCCTATATTTTCCCCTGTCACAAAGCTAAAATCCAGCTCAGCTCTTCTTTCTTTCTCTGTGGTTGTCCTGTCTCCCCCATCCATGGTGTGTGAGCAGCTAGGCAGGAAGTGAAAATAATTATATGAACATTATCATACACAGGCAGCCTGAGCTTCTTCGCTGTTACCAGGGAAACAGTGGTGTGTGTGTCTGTTGTGTTTGCGTGGAGGAAAAACTATACAAAACTAATCTATGCAACAAAACTTTTCTTATGTTGTTCAAGCAGCCCAAACTGCCCCAAACAGCACCTGATTACAAAGCCAGATAAATCTCCCAAATGTGTCATTAGTGAGTGAACATGCATGCCTGTGTGTGAAACTGTGACTTGCTGAGCTCAGCAGTGCCACTGCAGCGTACCTCTTGGGCTATAATGGAAGCTATCAGATAGGAGTGCTGCCAGATAGGTAGATTACACATGGTTAGACAGCTACTGAGCCTGCTCTCACCAGGGATTAGACCAACGCACGCACACACATACTCACTGGTTTTTCTATAGCTGTGAGGATGCTCATTGACATAATGCTTTTCCTAGTCCCTTACTCTAACCTTATCCATCACACCTTAATGCCTAACCTTTAACCTAACTTAAACTTAACTGTAACGTGAATCTCAAAAGTCTTAACACCTCAAACAGCCCTTAGAAGTTGTAAGGACCAGGAAAATATTCTCACAATGCTGAGATGTCCTGAGTGATGGTGATGAACTAAAATTTGTCCACACAACCACAGAAAGACATGTACAGACCACCAGCACCAGCAAGGAGACAATGAAGTAATGGGGTGCCAACTATAATTTATAGTATATACTGCTCCAGTGATTTAGTATTACACAGCCACTTTGAGCCCCTAGAATAAGTCAAGACAAATGATAACCCCTGTGTTCAGAGATGACCTTCACATCCAGGATGTGAATGATATTACATGTGACAGCTGCATGAAACACTACATCAGTGAATCAGAATGGATATGTGACTGAACACACATGAAATCAGATGTGTGTGACAACATTACTCACAGCATCCACTGGAGAGAGGTCAGAGGTCTTCAAGCAGAAGTACCAGAGACTATCTTTAGGCAAAAACAGGGGTGACCATCTCCTCTGTCAGAGCCCTTCACATTTTACACACTTCTTTGTGTTGTAGACTTACTACTTTCTAGAGCAATTGTACATTCATGTCTTGTCACACAACCAAAGTTCCATCCGTGATGTCAGGTGCTTGTGTTTTTCACTATGTGTTCTTCTCTGTACTTGTGTTTTTGCTGACTTGTTAAACATCATCAGCCACAGCCCAAGCACTGGTTCAATTCAGTCTGCATCCAGCCAAGTGCACATAAAACAAAACAGGAAAATAAAAACAGAAGTGGTCTTGCTCTGGCCATTTTATTGAGGTTGCTTTGGGAGCTGAGTTGTGGGGACTTGGGGAAGCCAAGTATCCCAGAATGCATGCCAGCTATTTGTGATGGTAGAGATTGTGAACCAGACTCAAACCTTTTATAATTTTTGCCACTTTATTAAGTTTTGATAAATATATGATCAGTCTATTCAAATCATGCCAATTTAGAAATTTGCCCCAACATTTTCAGTGACGTGAGTACCTACCAGTGGACCAAGCTAGCTCCAATTAGCAGGCAGCTACTGTTTATATCATTCAGAGTACCATATTCAGTGAGCAAGGACGCTGGTGTTCCAGCTGCACATTGGGTGCACATTTACAAGTCCAAACTCCCAATATACTTAACTATAACATTTGAACAAATGCCCTTAGCTTCATTCTTTGTAGAAAATAGAACTGAAATAAAAGATTTTTTGGAAGAACTTTGGATTCTGTAAAGTTCTTTCTAGAAACACCCAGTGTATTATAAAAGCAGTTCTGCAAGATATACACTATATAATCAAATTATATCAATGCTGGGAGGTCAGAGACAAGGCTGATAGGCTAATAGTAATTATCAGTGAAAAAGCCAACAAAGTACAACCTAATATGCTGCTATAACAGTATATTTTTTGACAAAATATGTAGTAGATTCTTTTAGGCCACAGTGGATGGGTATACTCTATGGTGTCTTCTTCCTTTATCTTGCAGTAACTATGTCTCTTGACAGTAACAATTACAGCCTGTGAAAAACTCTCCACAGTTACTGTAAAACACTCCCAGTAATGCTGACTGTATTGTGTCTTCTCCTCTCACTGGACTCCCTCACACTGCCATCACTGTCTATATACTCCCATACCTTCCCACCATGCTCCAGTCTTATTGGGCCTGACAGTTTGAAGACTCCCCATCTAGAGACAAGTGGTGGTGCAGTTAAGTATGTTGTGGACATCCTTAGCGCTGCCTGTATGTGTGTATGTGTGCTTGCAGTTCTGCACTGAAATGCAGCTGAGATATAGGTTGCACAGCTATCAGTCTGAGATGTGTGAAAGTATAACTCATGCACTGCACACTTAACTGATATTGTAGTGAATGTCTATAGAAATCATTAAAAATCCCTTTAACTGAAATTGAACTATTCTATGTATCATCACATAATTAAGAAGGCCAGTTGTGTCCTGGGGTGCAGGACAGAGAGAAGGATGATGGACAGCACTTAACCCTTAACCCTTACAGGCATGGATGGATTACTGAACAGGTCTACTGTGCACTTGCCCAGGGGCCCAAGAGGTTAGACGTAACCTGCGGAGCATCTGTTCAAACTGATTGTTAGTATTTCATGTTAGAAAGTCAACAACAAAGAGACTCTAAACAAATATAATTAGATGCAAACAGAGTTGATGCAAACCACACACAAAGAAAAGTAAAAAAAAAAAAAGACAGACACAAAACAAATAAAACTGCATGCAAAATATTTTCAGAGATGCAAAACAAGCACAATGGAAGCAGAATGATCACAAAGAGGCACGAAACAAGCAAAAATGCTGCAAAATGAGTAGAAGTAACAAAAAAGAAAAGGAATACAATTAGACACAAAACAAGCACAAACAGAAAAAACGGTGTAAAAATGAGTAGATGCAAAACAGCCTCAAAGAGAGACAAAATGACTTATGTATCTTTCAGTCTGCGGTTCTTACTTTTACATTGGAGGGGTGGGGGCCTTTTACATGTTTATGCCCACGGGCCAATTGTCTCATAATCCACTCATGCTTAGAGGACACCCTGGGTGCCCTGAACAGCACCTTCAGTGGCTGCTTCAGGAGGTGTGTGACAGAACACTATAATCTCTATCTCAACCAAAGTAACAAAAAATAAAATGTTTTTGAGTTTGGGTTTCTGAATTTGTGTTTCCACTTTCTGCACTATAATACACCCAGTACAACGTTACCTTTAACTATGGCCTCGATCTTCTTCTTCTTTCGACTGTTCCTGTTAGGGGTCGCCACAACGAATCATCTGTTTCCACCTAACTCTATCCTTGGCATCCTCTACTCTCACCCCAATTAACTTCCTTCTACCTCCTCTCCTTCTTCGACCAACAGTAGTCCAATTTCCACCAGCACCCTGCAGGTCAGCAGCACTGGTGGCGGTCGTTGTTAACCCGGGCCTCGACCGATCTGGTATGGAGTTCACACTGGTGATTTGCATGTTTAAATTTGGCATGTTTGTACGCCAGATGCCCTTCTCTATTTATCCGGAGTTGGGACTGGCACAGAAGTCACTGGCTTGCAACCCCTGTGGCCAGATTTTTAACTAAGACCTCAATAATAAACATATAATTTAATGTAGACATTTATGACAATTTCACTAAAAATTGAAACATTTTGAGCTTCATAAACACAGATGTTAAGGTGGAAGTGTTATTGGATTTGCCTCAATAATAATAATAATAAGGTCTAGACTTTACTTTGTAAAGTGTCCTGAGATGATTTTTGTTGTGATTTGGCGCTATACAAATAAAAGTGAATTTAACTGAATTGAAAAGTGTTGCATTGAAGTGCATACAATTGTACAGGTGTACCTAATAAAGTAGCTGGTGAGTGCTTATTTTTAATTCAATTATCTTTTCTCAAGAACTCAGTGTAAGAAATCATGAAAGACTCTGAACTGTGACATTTTTATTTTACAATTTGACTTTGTAAATCATCAGAGCTTAACACACTGTTTTGTGTTTGCAGTGAAGAGTTGCTACCCTTTGTAGTGCAGGGCAAAATAGAAAAAATAACCTTTGGAAAATTAAATTAGCCATCAGACCATCAGTCAAAGTTTCCTTCATTGATCTTTAAGTTTTTAAGTGCCAACTTTTTAATGAATGAAAATACAACAAAACACTTTACATTATGCCTGGTTTATGTCGTAAGTTATATTGGACTGCACTGGATTGTACAAGAGTACTAGAGAAATAAATATTTTAATGTAGATATAAGCTATGGACCCACCGTTACTGTGTTGGCAGTGAGGGCGGGGGTGTTGCTGTCAGTCCCTGGCTGTTCACTCTGTGTGTGTGTTGGCGTGTACAGCGTCAGGGCATGCTCAGCCACCGTGCTTGGTCCTGTGTAGTCAGCCGGTGGGTGGGTGTGGGACGTGGCGTACTCAGTGGGGATTCCATTCTGTGGTGGAGGGGGATACGGGGCTGGCGGGAACGGTTGGGCCATGGCTTCAGGGGGAGCTGGGGCCTCTTGGTTACCCTGCATGGACACATACATGAGAGGAAAAACAACAGATAGAAAAAAAGAGAAAAATCCATTAATAAGGGTTCGTTTTTAGTGACTGGTTTAGTAGCTGGACCTTGACAAATTTTTCTAAAGCATTAAAATATAATGGAGACTAATAAATACCTGCCTGAGCTTGATTTCTACAGTCCTTTTTACATCAGCTATTTTGACTTGCCACAGGAGGAAAAGCACAGGTGAAACAAATGTTTATTAATGATCGCTCAGTTGCATCAAGTGGCTCTGTTTCAGTTACACCTGTGCTTTTCCTGTTATGACTTTCCAAAATGTCTGCTGTGAAAAAGGTCTATTATAATACTTGTCTAAACAGACAATGAGGCTAATATTTCTCACTATCTGTGGGGACCTCTGGAACAGGTACAACACCACAGTACAATAGAGTGGATGTAAAATACCTTTGCACTTGATCATTTAGCAATGGGATTTCCGACAATCTGACAGTCTTACTTGAAGAAAAAGACAATGTGGGTATAGGTGGAATATTAATAATAAAATAAAGTAATACTAACAGAGGCATGTGATAGTTGAGCGGTTATGAAAGACTAAATACAACACTTGGCCTTGTGTGTGTGAGGGCTGTTCAAGCCCACAGCTTGACTCTGACTTCATATAACTGGGTGCACCCAGACCAATAGCAAACCCAGACCACAACAGAACAAAACAGACTCAAAACTGTGCTAAATGACTGAAACATAGCCGATCTAAAGACTGATGAACTTGAGGAAAAGGGAACAAATGAACATTTGAACTTTGTCACATTTCAAAGGAACATCCTTCACTAGAGTTAAAGGGACTAAAGTTCACATAAGAGTTCATGGTACAGGGAACTGGGTTGTATTACAGATTTGTTGTGATCTGCTTTATATATTCTTCCAGTTGAATAACTGTTATACCTACTAAAGGTACCAAGTAATGCATTCATTTGGTTACTGATGTACTGTAGGACTGCTGATTAGGTTGTAACACTTTATTTATTTTAATTTTTTTTCCAAGCTTTTTCAATATATTTTGCTACCCTGTTTTCACACTTTGGCTCTAACTACTGGTGATGGGTACTCTTCCTCATCCCCTCCTTATAAACCTTTTGGGAATTTTTACTGGGGAACATATTCAGTAATGTCACTCCTATAAAGTATATGGCCATTAGTGTCACTGAAACACAGGAAAGCCAGTACTATGAAACTATCAAATTCAGTTTAACTGCACTGATCTGGTGTTGATCTCGACTTGGTCTCAGTACACCTCAGTCTTGGTCTTGTTTAGCTGGCCTTAACTACAGCACTACCTGAGACCATCCTTGAGTCCAAGCGGTTACAATGACATTAACCACTTCACCCATGCTGAAATTTCTCTGTGAAAATATGTTTGCCAAACACATACACACAAACACTCAAGCATGGAATGAAAAACACATTGTCCAAAAGAAAGAAATGCAAATTATATCCTTTATAAGAGATGAGAAAGATCAATGATCTGATACTGCTTTAATGACAAGGTCTGTTGTGAAATCCATGCTTCTAATTCAAGTTGGCATTCATTTCCCCCTCTTCTACACTTTCCTTCATGTATTCCTCACTTGCTTCAGTTGCTGTGATTTCTCTTCTTTTCCTTAAGGTGAGAATCATGTTCTTTCACCTCCATCCAGGCTCCTTCTAATTTACATGCCTGTCAGAGAATGATTTCCTCCAACCAATGATGATGAATCCATCTGACATATTAGTACCCCACTTTCCTTCCACACTTGTCTGAAACTTGACAGCTTAAAAAATTTAAAAATCAATCACAACAACTTTTTGAGGTTAGAAGAGGCTCTGACCTTAGCTGTTTCTAAAGGTTTCTCCGATCAATAGCGGTATTGAAGTTGGCGATTCATATGCATGGAGATTGATGGTGTTGAGCATAACAATGCAGTTTGCAGATGGCTCACTGATTTTAGCCACATGGTTCTGGCAGAGAGTCATTGGTGACTCTGTTTTCAAGCTTCAGTCTGTAATTATTTTCTTTAATGTCCTTAGCTCAAGTTGTTTAAACTTGTATGACCACTTCTTACAATTCATTTGCTTTCACTTTAAATACTAGAAATATTTCAAGTATAGTAGTACTAATAATTAGCTATTTTCCATCTTACAGTAGGTCTTGTCCATGTATCCACCAGAGTCATTGGTGTGAACACAGGTTACAAACATTGCTATAATAAAGTCAGACAGGCCAACAAAAGGAGCATTGTCAAATCAAACTGTTTCACATGCACAATGATCCAGAACTGGACAACACAGAATGGCTGGCGTTAGATTTTTACAAGATAAATAAAGAATCAAAGTCCTGACATCAAGTCCTGGTGTCTGTTCAACTAGTTTCTGTTACTCAGGACAATCTCCTGTTGAGGGGTTTTAAATTTAGTTTTTATTAATAAATGAAATGCATTCTTGTGGTTTACTGGCTATATTAATAAATTTGTTACTATGACCAGTTAAAAAATAGATGTTTAAACTTTCCTATATCCTAATATTTGAAAATCTACACTTCTACAACAACTGAGCAAACTTCATCTTCTTTAAATAAGGGGACCTTGAATTGAGATTATTTTTCCAACAATATTTCTTATTGTTCTTAGTGACATTTTTTTTAATCTATGACTTCCACCCACACTGTCTAATCTCATTGTTCCTGCTTTTTAGTTGCTATTGCACTGTCAGATGGGTCTGACACCCCGTTTGCCCCATTTTGTCCCCTCTCACAGCCATTAGACTGGCCTCAGTCTGTCAAACTGGTAAACTCTCACCTATGACAGTATGCGCATGTGGGAAAGGGTGGTTCTTATACTCTAAATAATAAATATTACATTTTTAGTACACTGTCCTTGTCTCAACAAATATCCTGTTGAGCAGGGTAATGGGGTCTGCATGCTAAAAGTGTCACTATGTATGCAAGCCCCTCTGCGGCTGTGTGTGTGCAGCCGGCATCCATCATTGCATTCATACTCGCAACACGAGTCTTTGTGGAGTTGACACTGCGCTTCAGCACTGTAAAGGGAATGAAAGTCTGGATGATGAGGAGGAAGGTGTTGTTGTGTTTGTGGTATTTACTGTGTGCCGGGGAACTAAGATGATGGTCTCTTTGTCCTCTAAACTAGATGTAGAGAAGATAGAGAGTTCATTAAACTTGTGGAACCAATGCCCCTCAGAGATGACGAGAGTATTTTCATATACCTGCAGATTGGTTTGATGATTCCTGCACAGAATCAAGCCATTTCTTAAGCATGCCAGCACACAGTGTATGCCTAATTTGCTTGTGAGCAGGTAAGGCTGGGGAAAACCACATCCAGCACCTGGACTAGCACAGGTGCCCCCGAGGGATGTGTGCTCTCCCTGCTGTTGTTCTCCCTTTATACCAACGACTGCACTTCAGGAGACCCCTCTGTAAATATCCTGAAGTTCGTAAACAACACAACGGTGATCTGCCTCATTCAAGATGCTGACGATTTGGCCTACAGATGGGAGGATGAACAGCTGGTCCTGGAGCTGAACACGTTGAAAGCAATGCAAATGATAGTGGATTTTAGGGGTAGCTCTCCCACCCTATCTCCTCTCACTATACTCAGCAGCTTTGTTTCAGTCGTGGAGTCCTACAAGCTCCTGGGCTCTACAATCTCTCGGGACTTGAAGTGGACAACCAACATCAGCGCAATCATCAGGAAGGCACAGCAGAGGATTTACTTCATCAGCTCAGGAAGTTTAACCTGCCTCAGGAGCTGTTGATTTAGTTCTATAGGAGAATCATCGAGTTTGTTCTCTGCACTTCCATCTCTGTCTGGTTTGGCTCGGCAACCAATCAGGACAGGAACAGACTCCAACGGACAGTCAGGACTGTGGGAAAAAATCATCGGTGCCAGTCTGCCCTCCATGGAGGACCTGTACACCTCATGGGTCAAAAGGAGGGCAGAGAGGATTTCTGTAGACCGCTCACATCCTGGACATAAACTCTTTGAATTCCTCTCCTCTAGATGGCGCTACAGGTCACTGTACGCCAGAACACCCAGACACAGATGCAGTTACTTCCCCTGGGCCATTATACTCACAAACAGTTAGTCTAGGTTTTGCTCTTTTAACTTGTGCTTTTTCAGCTTGTATATATTCTGTATTTATTCAGTTTTTATTGTTGTGCACATTGGGGGCCATTGGGCTGGAGTAAAATTTCTTATATTTTGATAATACTTGCCAATAAAGTTTATGCTTATGCTTATGCTTACCACAAATGATCCATGAACAAAGACAGGCAAGTTAAATAATAGAACATCTGACATGAGAGCAGGAAAAATGCTTCACTTGCAAATCTTTTTTTTAATATGCCTAAATCATGACCTGATGTGTGATTCATCTCTCTGTATGCATGCGCACACATACATATACACACATGCACAGCCAAACTGACACGCTGAGATGGAGATGGTTTTGCTCTGCTGGGGTTTAAAGCAGAAAAGAGGGAGCAGTGATAGAGGCTGAGAGAGCCAGAGGCAGAGTGAGGGAGAGTGTTAAAGTCAGTGAACTTCCATCATCCATCAAAGTGACTGAGGTGCTGACACACTGAGACATCCCCAGATCCTTGTCAACAAATTGTGCTGGTAAATGATTTCTCCTATCAGCTAAATCATACTACCCCTCTCTCTCCATCTATCTCTGCATCAGCCACCCATCTTTCTCCTCTTTCCTCTCTCTTTCCCTCATTGAGTTTCTTTCCCTTTGGCTCAGTGTCATGCCTGATGTCTGATGGACTCTGGCTCCATTTACACATCAGGCACATGTATGATACACTCACTTACTTTCTTTCTCAGTCACTCGCTTGCTCATTCACACACACATACAGAGATGTTAAAGCTAAAGAGAACCTACAAAGAAAGGTGCTGAAGAAATGAAAGGCTTACACACTTTAAAACACAGACACACAACATCAGGGGG